TCTTCCCTGTGGTGTATTCACACAAGTCTGTGTGAAACACCTATTTACTAGCAGGTAGCAGCAGTGGGTATGCTAAGGAAAGCTGGCCTAGCTTTGAAGTGATTTCCTAGAACTGTGTTTTCCTTCCCAGACACGTATATGGCCCTTTGTGCCATGGAAACTGAGTGTGGCTGCCGTATTATGTTCTGCCCTGCCATGGGAACAGTGTTTTGAAGACATTTTCTTTAACCAGGCTTTTAGCACATCCATTTTGATTTACATCCAAATGGGTCACAGACATCAACGCAGTATTATATAGAGGGGGAAAAAGGGAATGAAACGCTTTTAACGTGAAAAATATGCTGTTGCATGTAGGCCAACTTTTGTTCTCTTTCACTCGATTTATCTGGGATTTGGGTGGGTTTAATTCTAGGGCCAAAATCAGTACTGGCCTAAGAGAGCACAACTCCACTAGTGTGAAAAGCATCTCAATGTTTTTGTCAACACTTAGCTTACTTCACTGAACTTTTCCCATGTTTGAGCTTGCATGTTTCTTGCATCCTAATGTGCGCATGTACTGCACACATGCTGCACATATGCACATAAAAATTCACTGGGAACAGCATTTGTCTCCGTGCTTTTTGACTTTGTCTAGAAATTGCAATCTGCTTATGAAATATTTTGCTCCTCCTGTAGTTAATGTGCCATGCATTTGTAAGGATCAGCCATGCAGAATGCCATGTTGTGAATAAAAATAAAATACCAAATAGCAAAGGCAAGCACGGACATAGCTTTTTTTCCCTCAGACTGCATGAATGTATATATGCACAAATCACTGTGAGATGCATAGAAATACTGCAGGTACTTATCATTGGAGGGAGCAGTAGTATTTTCTCAGCTTCATGTCTCAAATGTAGGAGTGTATCATGAGATCTGCTTACCTGTTGGTGACTGAAGAGTAGTAAGGCCAAAGCAGAGGTGTCTCGCTGTCTGCAATGCCTCTGGCAGCATTTGGGATATTGCTCTGGTCATCAGGTTTGAGAGAGAAATGTGAGTGTTGTGCTGTCCCAGTATTCCCATAATGTAGGTGTCCTGAGTATAGACCAAGACCTGATGGTGCTGTGAACAGAAAGCTGGGAGATGAGCTCTGCCCAGAACTTTTACCACGAATGTAAGGCAGATATGACAAACACACAGGTAAGGAGTTCTTTGAGTGAGTAAGAACTTATTGGGCCATCTTGAGGCCAGGTGTCCTCAACATGCAAGCAGCCTTCTCAGTGCTGCACGTCTGTGGGCACTATATATAACTCCTCCTGGATTTAAAGGAGACTGTAAAGTTTTCTTTTCTTTTTTCTTTCTTTCTTTCTTTCTTTTTTTTGATTGAAAGGCCTTTGATGCATCCTAAGAGGGACTTTCCCAGTGCACCCTTTGCTCAGCAGAATGGGGTGTCAAGATGTGATTATATTCTCAGTATAAAAAAAACTAATGTTTCAGGTGAGAAGTGGAGGGTACTGTCCTCTGGGACAGTATGAAATTGAATCATTAGGAAGAAATTAAGGCACTGCTTGCAAATAAAACTGGACCTTTCTCTGCAAACATTATCCCTGGGAATAATTGGAGATCTGCATTCAGGCTTCCTGCTGGGTCCAGTCCCTGGAGGACACAGCTGCTGTATTGCTTTACATGGTGCAGCAATGCACAGGGAGATTTACATATATATCACATAAAAGTGTTTACAAAAAAATTAGCATGTGATTGAGCTGGGAAGCTGCAGAGGGCCCCAACTGTATGAGTTTCCATGCATTTCAGCCAGAAGATTTATTTCCAATTTGTTATTCATAAGGGAAGAGAGAGAGATTGGGATGGGGGCCTTTGAAGTGGAAAACAAAGTCTTCTATTCAGCCTTCAGCTTAATAGAATACACATGACACAGGCTTGGCATGGCGGCCTGCTTTCATGTAATGTGCTCGTTGTCATTTTGCCTTCCTAGGCTGTGAATGCTAGTGGGAATGGGCACTGCTCTGGAAAAGTCTCTATCTCCTGCTGCCTTCTGCAGGAGATGTGCAGTGCGAGCAGGTAGGAGCTGAGTGGTCGTGGTGACAGCAGGCTAATCGGATTGTTGCTATTGTGTTGCTAACAGTTCCCAGTTTGGGTTTTGCAGTGGAAGAGGCTATCTAGTAAAAGCAGAATCACTGCAAGGCTTACACATGAACTTCTGCCTGGACTTGGCCTCTTTGGAGGCCGTGAGCCTGGAGCTCTGACCCCAGTCTTGTGTTGTGGCAGTAATGAGCAATTCCATCAGAAGTCAGTGACTTCATATAGGTGAATAAGGCATGTATTTCCTTTCAGGAGCAAGGCCCTATTTTTTCAGTGATGCTATTATTACCCATGTCTGCAGCCTATCATAGCTTCTTTGCCTTGCGCTGCATTAGTAGCACTGAAACCACACTTAATGCAGCATGTGGACGAGTGTTCTTGAAGACATTACCAGTCCTGTAAGGACCTGTCAGTGGGCTGGGAGAGAAACCACGCGTGACCTTCAGCACATCAGCCCAGCCCGCGGTGCCAGCGTGGTAAGGAAGAATTTGCAGCAGGGTCCTGCCAGGCCTCTTGGTTCCTTTTGGCTTCCCTCTCTCTCCTTGCTTCTCTCTTGCTCTTCTGCATACTCAGGTTTGGAGCTCTGGGTGAATCATCGAAATCAGAGATGGAAAGAAATGCATGAAGTCATCTCATCCTGCCCTTGCCAATGCAGGATTATTCCCCACAGTACAGTGTTGAGTGCCTTCTCCAGTCTATTTTTAAATGACTCAGAGGAGAGGGCTTTCCTCTCCTCCCTGGGGAGGCTGGCTCTGCTATTCAGTAGACCTCACTGTTGGGGAATTTTCTTCCTGTTCTCCAGTTCTCCTTTACCCTAATTTAATTGAACTGTCTCAGGCTCCACCCTTCTAAATAATTTTCCACATTACGTGACACTTGCAAATACCTGTTGTCAATTTGTGGGCATGATGGATGGGAATTCATCACAGTTTGTACAGACCTGTACCAGGAGACCAGACGTTATCAGAAACTAGATTTCAGATTTAGAAGCCAATTAATAAGAATGACATGTAGAACTGTTTCAGAAACACCATTGGTGCAGACCCCCATCATGACTGAGTATAGGCTGGGCTTCTGAATGTCTGCATTAATATGTTTGTTTTCCTGTTTGTCTTCCAACAGATCTTGCATAGTGGTCTTTGCATAGCAGGAGTAACTGCTGCCAGTTCTCAGGTTGAACTGTAGATATATATGCATTTGAAGAACTTTTAATTAAAAAATGCAGTACAATTTTTGTCAAGGGGCCACAGCAATTAAATTTCTAAACCTTGGCTTTCAGGTTAAGGTTCCTTATGGTCCTTAAGTATTATGAGAAGGGTCTTGAAGATGGGATTTGTGCTTTGACAATGCCTGGATGTTTTGGAGCAGCGCTCTTTGTCTTATGATGGAGCATGCATCCTTCATCCAGTAGGACTGACTTGCAAGAAAGCTGCATGTCCGAAGAGTGTAAGTTATTCCAGAAAAGCATCTTACGGGTTTGAAGAATTACGATTCCCTATTTATTTATTTATAAGATGAAAATCATTTTCTGCTGTGGTTGACAGAAGAATAGAAACACATTCTGAAAACACCAGGAAAAAGAATGACTAGCATTAAAGAGGCTGAAATCCCTTTAGTGTTTTCGTAAAGCAGAGCTGCAGCTATTTAGCTGTGGCAGGATACCAAACAACATTGTGGCTGGCCATTGTTGCTTGAACAGTTTGATTTTTAAAACATTCAGCTGAAATATAACCACCAGCCAAGTTGGAAGAAGCGAGTCACAAGGACAGCATGTTAAATCAAGAGTCAGCAAATGAGGGAAATGAGTTCCCGTGCCCCAGAGGAGTGTGGCTGCATAGCAGAGCAGGAGCCTGAGAGCAGTATCTCAGCTTAGCCTAGCTATCGGGTTGCTTTCAAGAAAATGTTATAGTGTAGAAATAATACATCTTTAAAAGGAGTGAGATGGTGCTGTAGTTATAAAATAAAATCATTGATTTCTCTGCAGTAGGCCTCAGAAGGGCCGTGGATCCTCCCCTTTCTGCTAAGCAGCATTCCTGAGCTCATAAAACAGAAATCTCTCCTCCAAAGAACATCCAGTGTTAAGCATTTCAAAAGATGGGATAGGGATGATGAGGGGGGTGGAGGAGGACACACAGTGACTGTAGCTGGCAGAATAAAAACCCACCCAAGCAAGCTTTGGCCTTTGCTGCTGGTACCAATCAGAGTCATCAAGCTGTGTGTTTGACCTGATTCTTAGTACTTGCTTTTTAGAAGACATGGTTCTTGTTGGTGTTTTAGAATGTGCATGTTTACGAGAGAGTTTAATGGGTTGGAGCGTGGTGTGTGGGAGCAGTGGCAAGGAGAAGGGTGTGTGGTCCCTAATGACGCCAAGTGAAAAACAGACACACCTGCTTCTGAATATAATGGGAGCGATAAGAGTAATTTGCTTAATGATGGTTTCTTTTGGGAGCACAAGGGGAAGGGTTGGTTTAAGAAGTGAAGGGGAGCAGACAATTCGTATCACGCTGGACCAGGGACTGCTCATCTTGCATGGGAGTGCTGGGTGGGTCTGGGCTGAGCTGGTGCTGCTGCCTGCATGCTGCCCCCCTTCACGCAGTGTTTTGCTTTGCGTGGTTTTATCTGCCAAAAAGAAAATCAATTCACAAAATATTTGCAAGGTTACATGGCCACAGGCTTAAATACATACATATGAAATCCTTGAAAGCAATTTGCTTCAAGCCGCCCTCCGTTCCAGACATCTTTCTCACTCCATCTGCTCGTTCAAGTACACAAGTTCCTTGGGAAAAATCACTTATTACATCACTGAAAAATGCCACAAAAATAGCTTTTCGCTTAAGTTCCCATCCTCAGAGTTAACTCGCATGGGGATCAGATAGATTCGAACATTTAATAACTTTTTTATTTTCCTTTCTCTTTAAACACAGGATCTCTGGTCATGGAAGCAGGGTCACGTGGTGGATTCTTGGCAGTCAGCAGTCTGTGGAGCTTTTGCAGGTGCAAAGGATTATATGTTATACTGGGAAAGACTAAAGAAGAAAAGGAAAAATGTGCAAATCTATTAAGTATAGCAGAACAACATTCCTTTGTAATTCAAGTTTGTTTAGAAGAAAATGGATCCAGTTGTTATTTGGAAGTAGGAAAGTCAGCAAAGGAAAGAGCAGGGGGAAAAAAAGGCCGACTGAAACAGGGTGTCTGTTTGAAAGACAACCAATTTGTTTTTGACAAATTTCTGTTATTTAAAATCCAGGGGCCTGTCAGTCAGGCTTTGCGATTATTTCCAAGTTGATTTGTAAAATCCTCATCCAGGAGGAACTTCGCTTGGGTGCGGGTTTGTGCAGCTGTCTGCTCCCAGCGCATCCCCAGGGCTTTAAGTGAGAGGCCATGATTCACCATTCATGTGACAGCTCTGACAGCCATGTAGATTAACTAGAGTCAGGAGAGCAGAGGCTAGCATTGCACAGCCTGGAGGCAAAAGCCTTCTGCAGCAAAAAAGAAACGGAGGGTGAAACATCTGGGCAATCTCCAGACACTAGAACAAGAATAAAGAGTGGCAGAATACAATACTGCACTATTTATTACCAAGCAAGCCAGAAGTTAATTGAATTCTTCAGTAGGCTTCTTGCTTGATTTTAGACTACTGTAGATATTTAAAAAAAAATAAAAATAAAAATCAATTAATGACTCATCAGTGTAGCTGACAAGTTAGAGGGAGGAGAGACTTAACTGTCTTAATAGAAAAACAGATTAGTAGTTCAGAGATGGATAACCAGAGCTTTTCCCCAAGGAATTAAAATACATTTTGAGATTCTAAACCAGTGGCACAGTATGTGGAAAAAATAAATGCTGCTTAAACAGAAATTATAGCATTTCTTGAAATAGAGATTATCAAAAGCAAAGCTTGTTCTTTGATGACTTGTAAAGTCAGAGCTGTTACACTGTATGTGATTTTTTAAAATAAACTCTCTTATGGGAATTGAAATATTAATAGCAACAGAATTCCAGCAGTGTCTGAGGCTTCCTTTTGGTAGGCACTGTAATGGCACAGCTGAGAAGAGAGGGTTGATGGCTGTGAGTGCACTCACTTTAGAAGACCAGGCATGCAAGCAATGGGAGGAATAGTTTGAGTAGAATTGATTCAATGTGGGTCCAGAGGGGCTATTTTAGGCAACCTGTTGTGTGTCCAGCTGTATTTTCTATGTTGATTTGATGTGAAAAGGTTTTATTCTGCTTAAAATTCGGTCTGCTTTTGGGTTTTACACTGACTTAATCAGCACAAACAAAATGAGAGCGGTTGAAGCAGATGGTTCATTTTTGTTTTGAAACCAAACAAGCTATCAGGCTAAAAATGCTTTAAAATGCAATCTGGGTCTCTCCAGGTGTGATAGGAGATCATTAATTTAACTGTGTTGATTTCTTTACAGTCATATTGATACAAAAACTGTGTTCAGGCACGTTCAGAGCGCTGGAAAGGTTATCTGATTTACCCAAGGCTTTGTGGAGTAATTTCCTGAAGTCCAATTTGGTGCCTCAGTTGGAAACTTAGCCTGGTGCCTCTGTTTCCTTCCGTCTGTGTCTTGATTCTGGGCAGTTGTGCTTGAACTTGCTACTGTTTGATGGATGTTTGGTACTACGTGCTCACTTTCCAGTGGAAACACGCAGAAGGAGCTTCCAGAGGCACAATCGTGCATGGGTGCTTCAGTGCCCTTGGCGTGCAATGGGAGACCTGACACCTCATGCTCAGGGGGACACCAGGTCCTGGAGCAGCACAGAGAGTTCCAGGTTCATGTTCAATGAGGCAGTTCATAAGCTCTATTCCCAAAGCAGGAATCTTCGCAAAACTGCAGTAGATTTTTTTGTAGGTTGTGCAATATATAGCAATATGTAGATTGTGATGAAACTGGTGATGATATATTCTGTGGTTCACCTTGCAGCTTCAGCTCCTCCAGCCTGGTTTTCCTGTTTTGTTCTTTCCTTCCCTATTCTTCCCTTTTCACTAGCAACATTTTAAACTCCCTGTCTGATGTGTCCTTTGAGAGCCTGCTTCAAAACTCTCAAGGTTAAACTGGCTTTGGGTCAGAGCCTTACCTTTCATTCCCTCCCTCTGCAGACACACAACAGGCAGAATCTGCATTGGACTAAACCAGCCCTGCACCCATTCTGTTTTACTGAACATATTTAGCCCCATTACTGAATGGAGGAGGTGGAAAAATAATTTCCTGCTTTCTGAAGTTTCTATTCCACATTAAAAACTATTAACTACCTACTTACAGCTTCAAACGAGAGAAGAAAAAGCAGACCAAACATTTTATCCCTTTTTTTTTTTTTTTCCTCACCCAAAGCAAAAATTGAAATGCCACCAGTACCCTGTGAAGAAAATAAGATGTATTTATGCATCTGAATGGGTTTAAATCATCACATTATAAACCTCCAATGGAGAAGATTATCCAAAATCCAGCTTTTGAATGCAAAGATGCTATCAAATGCCACTGTGGTAGTTGTGGGTTAGAGAAGTCACACAGACGTGCTTTTCTCCTGTGTTCCTTGCTTGAATTCAATACTTGCTAAAAATATGTTAGAGGTCCTGAGGGGCAGGGTAATAAGCTGAAACAAACTGAATGAGAGGTCCTCTTTGGCTTCCCTTTATGGGGAGCACACGCATACACGCATGTGTCTGTGTTGGTTAGCTCCTAGCTACGTCGTAATTGATTGTTTGGCAAAGGCAGAACAAAGAGTAACAATATATTGAATTCCATCCCCAGTGCCTGTGAAATAACAGAGATTTCAGCCAAAGTGCTATGAGAGCCCAACTCTTGTTGAGCGCACATGTGTAGATGTATGTATGCTCTCCATGGGCTTTTTATAGAAACGTAACAGGCACGAACATAAATATCACATATTTGGAATCTTCTCTGTCTCATCTGTTAATAATTTAATCCCCAGAGGCCTTGTCCAGCTTTCTCATCATCTCTGGTGTATTCAGTAGAGGAGACGCTTGGAGCAGTCAGGGACTGAGAGAAGGAGATATGTGAGCAGGCAGTGGGGAGGAACTCAAGAGCAGATCTGTATTATAGACTGTCCCAGAAGAGTCCTGTGTGGGTTTCTGATGCCCTCCGCAGATTTGGGCTGCTGGCAAGGAAATTCTGCCCGTGGGTATTGACCTTTGTTAGGGAAGCAAAGCACTGCCCCTGCAACAGTGATACTGCTCCTGTTTGTCACAGCACCAGAGTGCTCGTTTAATGGGAAAACTGCCTCTATTAAAGATGCTTCCTTTTTCTCCAGAGTTTAAAAAAAAAAAATAATTACTTAACATTAATAATTTGTGCTCTGTTTTGACAGAGTCACAGAGAATGGAGGTGCAAGCCTAGTGAATAATAAAAGCACTAATGAGACCTTTTTGCACGTTAGCAGGAGGGACTTCCCATCACTTTTGTTTTGATCTAATTGGCTCTGACAAGATTACACACTGTGTCTGAAAGCCTCTTTAACTCTATAGCTCTGAATAAATTTCTGAGTAGTTTTCAGGATTCTCCCTTCAGTGTTTGCCTGGACCATGCTTCTAAATCCAGAGCAGTTCAATCACTGGAAGAGCAGTGCTTCTCCTCCTGGTACTTCTGCTGAGGTCACTTTGCTCTAGCACTGGCAGGTGTTATCCCTGCAGTGATAAATGACCAGAATCAACTTCTTAAAAATTAACCTAGTGTCAATAAAATACATCTTCAAATCAAGATCTGCTTCCTTACCACTAGGATCGAGTTATGTCTTGTCCTCAAATGAAGTGCTTCATTCTGTTCTGATGCTTCTCAGTTTCTATTTGCATATGACAGCTAAGAACGATAGGAAATGCCAGCAGAAACCTAGAGGATTATCTTGAAGTCTTCAAGCCTTTTTATTCTTACTGCCAAGTAAAGGTAAATTGCTCTCTGCTTGGCCTCAGTACAGTGGATGTCTGTCTCTAGCACTTCCATCAAGACCTGGTCAGTGGGAAAGTGTGAGTAGCAAGGGGATTTTCTGTTTAACACCCTGCACTCGGTAAATTTTAGGCTGTTCAGTTGACATGTGGGAATATACAGTGTCCATTGTAACTTCTTGGGAGACAGGTGATGAATTTTCCAGTAGCATGAACTTTTATTTTCCCAACAGAGGTGTTTGTTGCCCTGCAAGAAGCGTTAACAAGCCAGGAGCCTTTTCCTGTGTGCAAATCTATCTTTATGCCTACTTGCTGAGCTCAAGCCAGTAGACAGATCCTTGTAAGGGCAAGGGATAAAAGGAGTCTTCTCTATGAGTGAGTTGGTAAGTCAGTGCCCTCGTCTGGTCCCAGGCTGTTCTGGAGGTGCCTTTTCTCTTCGGTAGCTCTACAGAGACAGAGCATGAGGTTGGATGTGTCTGGGCCTTTCCTTTCCCCCTCACACTATGATACCTTATTTTTTCTGACTGTTGAACAGACATTATCAGCTGTGTGACAGCTCTTGGAGTTGTGAGATAGCCATGCAGTTTTATGGATGAGGTCACTCTAAAATTACCTCGGTTAATTAGGGTTAAGGCTGAAGCATGTTCATTTTGTCGGACTTACTGCCCACAATACAATGTTATTCCCTACAGATGTTAACTTTAATCTTGTGCTTTTGTTAAGCGTATGCAAACTTGCATTTAATTTGTCCTGCTGTTGTGCTTGTGAAGCATTTTATTGTTGCTGTTGTCTTTCTAAATTGACTGGTAAATCTGTACCAAATACTTCCCAGTGATGGAAAAAGAAACACTGAAAAGTTAATAACCAAGGAGTCTGCAAGATCCAGATGTTAGCTGGGGAAAATTGAAAACCAATCGGTCTTGATTAAACTGTTTAGATAAGAGTGTTTTGGAACGTTGTATCAGAATGAACTGCGTTTGTTCAAAATGCTGTCACTGAGTTCGATCCTGCCAATAAGGAACTGTTAGGAATGATTGCTTAAAAAAATTAACAGGCTCCAATAAGGAAAGTGAGTTTGCCCTACTACAGAGCTGCCATCACCTCTACAGCTCAGCACTGTATTGAGATCCATCACCTCTGCAGCTCAGTGCTGTATTGAGATCCATCACCTCTGCAGCTCAGTGCTGTATTGAGATCCATCACCTCTACAGCTCAGCGCTGTATTGAGATCTTTGATACAGATCCAACAGCCCTGTGACTCACTGTTCAATTGTGCCTTGATTTGTGGGCAAAGGAAGAACTTCCACATCCAGACTTGTAAATCCACCATTTTCCGTGGAGATTATTTTTATTACTCTAAAAATACATTGCTGACACGAGTACCAAGTTTCTAACCCAGTCATTCTCTCAAAACCTTTTGGGGTCATTTAGTCAAAAACTGGCTCACAATGAAAAGATTTTTGACCTTAAAGAAGGTCCAGGAATGGGCTGGAATTTACTTTAAGTTGCTCATAGTTTCTGCTTTGGCTTGTTGTGTGCAGCCCGTTTTTCTGCTTTTTAGTGAGAAGTCACTGCTAGAAAACTTCCGGCAGAGTGAAGCTGCTGGGCTGAGCTTACGTGAGCAGAAGCTGCTGCTCCAAACGGGGCGTTCATTAACTCTGCTTCCCTGCTATTCTGGTTTGAGATCCAAGGCATTGCGCGCTTGCCTTGCTGCACACCCTGAATTATCATGGGACCTTCCTTAATTAGCTGTGAGAAGTCATTACAGGGTGCCAGCTGGCCAGCCCCCGTCTGACAGAAAGCAGGGCTTTAATGTGTTCCAGCTGCGGTGGCTGTGAGAGGTGCAGGTAAAATCACCATCCACCTGGGGAGCTGACGTTTTTTTTTCATGACTTGTCAGATTTTAGAAGAAATGTTTTCTCCCTTTCCATCCCAAGAAAAGGAAAGATCAATTTTTCTACATTCCAGAAAACTTGGAGCAAGACATAGGTTATTTTTAGCTTATTCCCTGGGTGCTGCATAGGCTTCAGCCTTTGGAGTCACTGTTTTCCTCGCTGTAGCAGATAGAGAGTTTATCCAAGCTCCAAAGGAGCAAGATAAAAAACACCAAGGGAACACAAAGGACAGATTTCAGAACAAGTCTTTCTTCCCTCCTTTCCTTTTCTTTCTTCGCTTACTGCTGTGCTGCTCCAGTGTTTAGAAGTTTCCTTCAGTTTGGCTCTTCCTCAGCATGAATTACTTGCTTAGAATACTGTGAATAGAGGAGGCAGAGAGAAATCAGAGTTAATTTTAGGATGGTGAAATAAGGCAAAGGGAATAAGAGCCCGGGAGAAAAAGCAGCAAAGCTGGTCTCTAGGTAGTGCAAGAGGCCAGACTGCAGCCACAGTGTTAAAATGTGGAGAAATAGGCACACGTTTGTGGGTGAGACATGCACATGGATAAGCTTAAGATTTCTGGCTTTTGGGACGAAAGCCACAGCTGAGCTGGCTGCTCTGAGTGAAAGTAATGAGCTCCAAGGGTGAAGTTTGGGAGTGATTAGGGAGAATAAAACTGCCTGTGAGAAGATGACACTTGTGGCAGCGGACTTCTGATAATTTCTAACAGTTTCACATTGTTGTTTTCCAAAATTGAGCTGATTTTCATTGGAGATGAGCTCCATCCCAAACTCTGGCTTGTCGTCTTTCCCTTGAAGCAGAATCTCAGGTCTAACAGTTGAAGTTCAGATCCAGTCTGTGTCTGTGTTTCAGATGCAAAACATCCTTCCTCTCTTTCTAAAGTGTCAGTGTTCAGACTTTAATTCTCAAGGTAGAGCACAACATGACATGCTTATTTTACCTTCTCTGCTCGTGAGCAAGCAGGTTTTTCCTTTCGTGCTTGCCTGTAGTTGTTGAAAGTGGAGTCTGTTATTGCTAAGGCCTTTGTATATTCTTCATATGCGTCCAAATCGAGAGGACACCTGTCTCAGCAGGGATGCTTGAGTGTAAGGTTAATAGCACAGAACTGTTATTCCTTAAGCCAACATACAGGAATAAAACACTCTGTATGTGGACCTTTGAAAACGTGCCTGGGCTCTGACATGAGGAAACATGCTGTAGGCATTAATAACGAAGCAGTGTTGACCACAACCATGAGAATTATAGGTAGTATGGCATTCATGTTTAACCAACAATGTCTCACTTGTGTTTGGTATTTTAATTTGCTCAGGTGGATTTGCAGCTGCAGTTACCACACCTCTCGACGTAGCGAAGACAAGGATTATGCTGGCAAAGGTAAGAGTGGGAAATACCAGCAGACATGCAGGTGAATGGCAGGGGTAGTTTCAGAGTGTCTCAGTGGTCATTACAGAATGAAATTCAGAGCATATTAATGATGACTTCTGCTCTTCTCATTGAAGACAGGATTAGATTTGAACAGGCACTGCGTGCAAAATTAATGGAATTGTGTTCTGTTCCTTGAGTTATTCTTCTAGTCTTTTCCCATAGTAGCTGTCTGAGAAGGTGCTGCAGTTCTGATGGACCCCAGACTTGCTGAGGCTCATGCAGCGGTGCCCAAAGTTAAATATCCCAACAGGGATTTTTTCCTCTGTTGTTTTGGTAGTGGTTTCTGTGTGTGTGGTTTTTGAGGAGGGCTTGACACTAGATTTTCATCCTCCGTTTTTAAACCACAGAGATCATGATGACTTAGTTCTGCCATCCAAGGCAGAAGGAAAATGGCTTGTAAGATTAGTATGTTTAGTGAGCAGTTAAAGTGCTAATAAATCTAGTATTCCCATCGTTCTCACTGATCCAGAGCAGAGCTAAGCAAGCTACATAGATTAAAGCCTGGTGTTCCTAAAGCCTTTCCCTGCCCTGAAAAGAGCTGCTATGTTGGCAAAGGTCAGGCATCCTGGAATTTCTGTGGATTGTTTTTACCCTATGGCTCATATCTTTCAGTAAAGGGATGTTTATTCTTGCTGGCATGCACCTCCCCAGCTGAGTCACGTGCATCTGTGCTCACCATGTGTTGTCGTCTCTCTCATTGCTGGGTGTTGTTCCTGATGCAGCTTCTTTGCCTTTGGACAGCATTAATGATAAAGCTCTTGGAAATGGATTTCATTTGTCTGTTGCTGTCCTCAGCAACCAGGTCAGCATTGGCAAGGGAATGGTGGTGCTTTGAAATGTTCTGAGACCATCAGTCATCTCACACTAACTAGATCACACGTGTAATTTAATTGCCTGCAGTCCTGGTGTTTGTCCTGTGTTTTTCACTCAAGGTAATTTTCCCATTCAAAACACTGCTCATGTTTTTAAACACTGTTGGTAATTAGTATTTCTTAAATTCATCTCCAGGCTGCTATTGTTTGAGTCTGAAGCCAGTGAGTAACAGAGTCACTTGTTGCTATTCTGAGAGCGTATTTTTATTAATATTGTTCAGAGTCAGTTGCTGAATGTAGAGCAGAGTGTAGCGCAGAAGAGACTGGAGCCCCTGTTCAGTAATTAGCCAGCTCTGTGACCTTGGGGTGATTGTTTTGTTCTTCTGTGCCGACATTTCCCCTTCTGTCCTCTGCCTCATTCCCAGAGACAATGAGCTTTTACTTCTGTTGGAGTAAGGAGGTCATTAGGACCTCTGTAATTGCTGCAAGGTAGTGCTAATGAGGGACTGGGTGCTTAATAAATAACTAAACCTCTCTGGCGACAGGTTTTGATCTCTCTCTCTTTTGGTGCAGGCTGGTTCCACCACGGCTAGTGGAAACGTTCTGGCTGCCCTTGGTGGCATCTGGAGGACGCAAGGACTGCCAGGGTAAGGACATGCTGAAGAAGTGTGTCTGTGTGCCTGGGGAGGGCCAGGAGGGGGGACAGTGGCCTGCTTGTGTTTGAATGGTGTCATACAGAAAAGTTTTTAAATTGTTGTGTGCATGGCCAGGGAGCAGCTCTCAGGTAGGTAAGGACAGCTGTTCTGTGTCTCTCCAGTCTAGTGATTGGTCTTTAGCACTGGCTAGGAGCAGTGTCCAAGGAAGACAACCAAAGTGATGTTACTGTATTTCTCTGGGGCCATGTCTTAGGTTAGCTCCAGATTTCTGAGCTGAAAATGGTTCTGTTAAACAGCCTGTGATGGACTTACCTCCATGAACGTGTTTGTGTTATGGATCCATTTAAACTTTGGTCATGCACACAGTTTTGTGGCATTAGTGCCACGGTTTAATCTCAAGGTGTGTGAATCACATCACCTCCTAAGACAACAGGGAGTGCTGGCACAGGAGCTGTGTGTCCATTACGGGTGGTCTTCTCTTGGCAGCTTCCTACTGACATTCACAACACTTGCAAGGTGTCCTCTGTTCCCTTGTATTTGCTGATACTGAGAAGCATAATGGAAGCACTCGTGGCAAAAAGTGCAGGTTTTCTGAAACAGGCATCGTTTTAATCGATATGAGCAGCTCCAGAGCAGCTATCCAGCTGCTTTCCTGCTGTCACCAGGGTGTAGAAATGTTGTTCTGGGCTTACTTCTAGCTGCTATAGGAAGTCTGGGATGATGTCAATTCAATCTCTTAATTTGCCTCACTTTACTCATTCCTGAGAATGAGAATTGCCATTCTGACCTTGGAGCGATGCTGTGAAAAAACAGTCCTTTGGTAGCATTTGTGGAACATCTTGAGAGCTTTTGAAGAAAGTGTCACAGGCTTATAAATTATTATTAGAGTTTAGACACCTGCTTAGTTTATGTTACCCTGCCCTGTTTGAGTGCAAGTCACACTGGTTATTGGTCTCTCAAAGTCAATATACAGAATATTCATCTCAACCTCAGCGAGTAGAGGCTCCTCTGCCCATGAGGTCCAGCCTGTGCTTCCTTTGCTGGGGTCTGTGTCCCACCTGCCCTTGAGCTGAAAGAGAAATGAAGGTTTTTGTGGAAGCTTTACTCAGAGCTTTTTGCTATAATTTTCATAGGCTTGTAATCCTCCTGATGTGGCCGATACTTTCGGGGTGCTGTTCTAACATTTGTAAACTGCTGCTTGAAAGCAGCATGTACATTTTGGCTTTGCAGGAGATAGTTTTCTCTTAACATCTGATCCATGCTCACGCGGCCAGTAAAAGTTCTGTCCTCTTTCTACACATGTGGGAAATAATTTGAAACAAATTGCAGGAAGTTCTGGACAGTCACTGCAGGAAGCTGTCCAGCTGTGTGCACCACCAGGCTGCGTGGATGGCTGTCTCAGGGCCTCTCTTTGAGGTGTCCATCTGAGGATGTGTTCCAGGTCCTCTTGTGCAGCTGATGGAAGCTGATGTTGGAGGGCAGAACAAGATGGGATTGGCTGGGGGAAGCTTTCCCTTCCTCTGCCAAGAGCAGGAAATAAAAATAGATGTTTATGTTCTTTTCAGGGTGTTTCAGCAGTGCCCTTTTCCAAACAACCCCCAATTAAACTCTGCCTAAAGATAGTACCCGTGGACTGGGACCAAAGGGAATGCAATTCAATTGAAATCAAAACAATAAGTGATCTAGAGAAAAAGTAAAACGTAAAGTAGGCCAAGCTGTGTCAGCTGCAAGGACAAGGAAGAAAGTCTTGGGAAAAATAAACGCAGAGACTGCCATGCCTGCTGCCAATTATAAATCTATTTATCAGAAACAATAAAAACGTCGGCCTTTTTTGGCCAGTTGCAACATGAAGTGATTTATGACTTCTCTAATAAATCTTGTATTTGAAGAGGAGGAATTCTGGGGGCAGAAAGATGCATTGCTTATTGCCACCTTATTAAAACCAGAGCGCGGGGCTCAACTTCCTGTTTTGCACCTAGTAAATCCCTCTGCTTCACTCCAAGAAATTTCACATCCCTTTCTGTCCAGAGAGACAGGCCTGCAGAGGAGATAGAGTAGAAATGAGGCAAATGGATCTGTGTGCCCCTTAGGTCCCACCAATGGAGGAACAAACCATTTACATGAATGCAAATGTATCTTTTTTGAGTGCTTTTCATGCAAGGAGGTGGTGCTGTTTGAAAGCAATGGATGAAGCTTCACTGGTGAGGAAGACAGGTGTTATTTTGACTGATGGGAAAGATCGGGTGAGATGGCTTGTCCCACTTTGTGCTCACTGGGGACAGAGCATTTCTCTGCTTCACGTCCACGGCTGAGCTTCCAGGTGTGTGAGGATGCAGTGTGGCACAGAGGGCAGCACCACACTGGTCTCCAGGGCTTGATCTCAGAGATGTGGGTCATGTCAGCAGCCCTTGTGCCAGCGGCTTGCTGCTTCCAGTTGTTGAGGTGTGGCCCCAAAATGTAACGTTTGGTGTTGGAACGGTGGGACTGAGGTCTGTTTCTGGGTTAGGAATGCTGAAATGCAGAGCTGCAGCCAGATGGAGGGGAGGGCATGTGGTGTGGGTTGAACACACCTGCAGCCAGGCCTCTTCCTGGAATTTAAATGTTACTCCTGGGTCTTCGAATCGTATGGTTGAGGAGAGCATGATGTATCTTTACCTGAAAGCCCACCGTTATTCTTTGCCAATCAGTCATGTTTTGTGCTTTTATTACAGCTGTTGAGGCCATCCAGCTGTTGGTTCTGGATCTCATTAGTAGCTGGGAGACGTGCTTCAGCAATGGGGAAAAGCCCAGTGGGAACAGAGCGCTGTTACAGGAGGGGCAGGGTCAAAGATGAAAGCGCTACAAGTAAAAATCTGTGCAGATACAAATAGGTGGCAGAACTGTGCCCATCTGAGGGGTTTCTGGTGGGGCTGCTGGAAAACAAACCATTCATTTCATCAGCTGATGGGGCACACGTGCTGCAGCAGGGCCCAGCTTGGATCAGCCTGCAGCACAGCTCAGCTCTCCTTGCCCTGGGGGGAGCTGTGGGTCTGGGAGGGACAGGCCTCGTGGTGGCAGGTGAGAAAATGAAGTTGGGGGTAGCATGTCTGGGGTTCTTGGAAGTGATGGTTAGTAATGTGTGCTGCCAGGGATACAGCTGCTGGGTAACTTGGTTATCTGCTTCTGTTTGGGTACTAGCTGAGTGCTGAATGTGCTGTTCTGTAAATGAGTGCCTGCCACTGCTCCTGTAATAAATGCTGTCTAATTCAGCAGGAGAAAGATGGTGTGTATCCCGAGAGCAGTGCTGTGCTGTAGGATTTACCCTATCAGTGCTCTGTCCGTACATGCCTTGTACAAATTACTCTGTTTTAAAGCTGTCATTATGGTAATAGACCAATTGCTGTCTAGTAAAGCCATAAAATGTTTCCATCTGCTTGTGTGCTCCAGGCTCCTTAGCAAAGCTCATTACAGCAAAAACCAGTGTTACTGCAGCCTGAGGTTTCCCAAGCTCAGTGTGAGCAGTGGCACAGGGAGCCAGCAGAGCTGCTTGGTTTCCCAGGGATTTGCATGCAGTCCCACCACGGACAGACACCCAGAATGGTGTGGAGCCGAGGGCAGCAGCATCCCTCTGCAGCCCAGCCTGAGCTGCCTGAGGCCTCCCAACGGTCAGTAGAGGAAGGTGGATAGATTTGAGCCTAATGTTTAATCCTTGCTCACAGTAAAGGAAGCCTGTAATCCTCTGGAAGGGAATACTGGCCTATCCTGAAGTTATTAAACCAACTGTGAGCTTAGATGTGTTGGAGTAATTGGCTTTGCGTGAGTTTCCTGTTACCTTCCAAGAACTGGTGGGATCAGGCACACGAAAATCGTCATGGCTGAACACAGGGTTATTCCTGGTCCCTCCCTCCTGTCCTTGTTACGTGTTACTGGGAGTCTGTGCTGTTGTGTCTGTCGGGAGCCCCTGGCAGAGAGGCATCCTGGCCATGTTGGTGTACCTCTGCTGGGCTGGACGGGGTGGCCTCCCTTCTGAGGTGGTTTTCTTTTTGGCTTTATTTCCCAAAGCCTTTGCAGCCAACCGCGCAGCATCCGCCCTCGCTCTGAAGCCACCTTTTCCTTGCCTCCAGCTTGTTTGCAGGTGTCGTCCCGCGGATGGCAGCCATCAGCCTGGGAGGGTTCATCTTCTTGGGGACCTATGAGAAGACACGCCAGCTGCTGCTCTGAGCTGGGCCTTGTGGAAGAGCCCGCAAAGCTGCTGACCCCAAGGAGGAGTCTGCCCACAAGCGCAGCCTTCTTCCTCCTGCCGCCTCTTGGCTGCGCCCGCAGCAGCTGTCCAGCAGCCTGAACTCCACGTTCACTGTTAACGAAAAGTAAATCCTCAAATAATCCAATTTCCCAAACATGAAATTTTTCCTGCATGGAAAATGAGTGAAGTCATTGTAAGAGTTATGCCAAAAAAAAGTGATGTTTGGGGGGCAAATAGCTCATTACAGTGGCTGTGAAAGGCGTTGCTAGAACTCCTGCAGGGGAAATGTTTTGCAAACCTCCAGCTCGTGGGCTGAGCGAGGAAGCTGAAATAAAGCAAGTGTTCATAATTCGGTGGCACCTGCCTCGTAACACTGGGAGGGTTCTACTGTTTGTGGTAGACTTACAGCCTGCCGCCCGCCAACAGCACTGACAGTATTCCAGGCTGGGAGGGCTTTTTGTAAGAGACAATCATCCATTTGTTTCTGACTTTGAGCCATGTTTGTGAAAGTTTATATTCCTGTTTATGCCTACAGGTGCACAGCAAGCGTTCTTGCGTGGTAACCAGCGTGGCGTTATTAATTAGTGTCACATTTCTCCAGTAAAAGCACGGTGTTGTATTATTTTACAGCTGTGCCTCAGCAAAGACCTGCGGTTTGGCCTTGCCTTGGTCTTCCTCCCTCGGTGAAGGAGCAGGGATTGGGAATGGCAGAGCCCAGAAGGGAGTGCATGAGTTGGGGTGGTTCCAAAGCGCTCCTGGGGGCTGCTGGCAGGCAGAGCAATCCTCTGTGTTGATGTGGTGCTAGGAAGGAGAAGCTGTGGTGGCCCACATGGTGCTGGGACGTGCTTGGTGGAAAAGGCACGATTGGAATTACTAACTTAAAATTAACACCAGAATCGAGGGGGGGGGAGGGGGGGAGAAATAATTGGCCAAGTTTACTGGGCTATGTGACGCTTGGAAGTTTTTAGACACAGAGGGTGTCTGTGCAGGGAGGCCTGGGCTGCCTGCAGGTTCCCAGCTGCGTCAGCACGATGGAGGCTGCTGGGAGACTTTTGTCTCCTCGGGTGACGCTGCGGTGGCATGCAGGGGGCTGGGCAGGGCGGCTGCTGGTCAATGGTGGGATGTGGCAGCTGCCTGGCACACACGGATGCTCTTCTGTCCATCTGCTCAACGTTTTTGAGGTAACCAAAGTCAAGTTTGATGATGTGTTTCCCTGTGTTCTACGTGTAACAGTTTGGTTGCTCTCCTTAAAGAGGGGTGGTTTATTATGCTGTCATCCCATCACAGAGCAATCAGACTTTTCTGAGTCCCAAACTTAGAAAATCGTTGGCAGGCAAAGAAAATGTGCAGAACAGAGACTGTAACTCCTAAAAATAATCGTCAATTAAAATGGGGAATTTTAAGACCAAGTCCCGTCTTGGCCGCTGACTTCTCCCACTTTCCATGGCACAGTGCAGCACTTCGAAGGTTGTCTCCTTTATGAACTTTTATATATAGCAGACTCAGTTTCAGGGGCATTGGAGGGTGGAGATTTATTACATGGTCTTAAAAGCTGCATCGTATTTTCTATTAAAGCTCTTTAAACAGATGAGAGGGACAGAACTGCTGTTGGGGTATTTAATTACTTGAGCTGAAAGTAATCGTGCCTCAGTCCCTGCATCCAAATACAGTTTTTTGTTGTTTACATGTTTACGTAATCAGTTCTTGTCATCACCACCTTGAAAAAGTAGCCAAATTTTTAGCAAACTAAACCATGCATGGAACAGGGGGAAACCAGTTCTGCAGTTCTGTGACATTAAGGCTGCTTGTTTGGTGAACAGCAGAACTGCCTTTGCTCATGCTTGCTTTTTATTTTTATTTATTTGCTTATTTCTTTTTGCTGAGGTTGAATGGTCAGTGGGTAGAAGGGGAGGTTGAGGCACCTTCTGGCTGCTCGGTACCCAGGGCTGTGTCAGCCTGCACTCATGTCCATCTGGGACTGCAGTGACAGTAAATTTAGCTGAAAAAACCCCCACCACAGCAGTTAATTAATTGCCATGGGTTTGCCCTACTGAGCTGTTTGCTGTATTTCCACCTCCAGGCGCGTCCCCTTCTTGTGCCCTGCAGGACCTGCCCTGCACCCAGCACACCGCAGGAAGGACCTGTCCACGTCCAGCAGCAGCAGGCAAGTGGGGAGAGGGGCTGCTCTGCACACAGCAGTGCACTGATGCTGCTGGAAATGACACTTAGTTCTGGGACTACAAGGGAGGAGGACGTGAAAAGTACACTGCAGTGTTTTTCCTCTCCTGCCTGTTTGCCTTGAGCTCTTAGATACATTTTGGCAGTTATTTCAAGTTTACTGAAACTTGAAAAATTCATCTTATTCCATTCCTGGGATAACGTTGAATCTCAAGGCATTGGCTTAAAGGATCTCTCTTTTCCATTTTAAAATACTTTAACTCCTACATGTGTTAAGGGAATTATCAGATGCTCTCAGAAAAGCTGTGCCGTACTTTGAATTAGCAACTGAAGAATACTTTTTAATATGCAGAAATTGAATTTAGTTTAAGTGGGAATTCACTCTTCTCTCAATCACAAATTGCCTCTGTGATTTCTAGACGGGGTGGGGTTTGGATTTGACAAAGCCAAAGGTGTTCACAACTGCAGCTGAATCTGGTGCTATCTGGCCCCATTTTTCTTACCTGCTTATACATACACCCATCTGTTCTGCTTTCCGTGCCAAGATAGCAGTACTTGCCAGATACTTCAGCAGTCCATGTATCAGAATTGTTTCTCAAATGAGTTCTCTGTGGTATCTTTTAGTGCAGCCCCCAGCTTCCACCCCATTCCCACGTCGGGCTGCCAAGGCTCACACTGCTCTGCAGTACCTGAGGTTACATTTGTGGGTCTGAGTTCACAAAGGGATGTTCTGGCAGTTATTTTGCACCTTCATCAGAGAAAGTCAGAAAAGAGTATAGCAATGGATAAGAATTTTATTTAGGTTTTTAACTGAAACTCCCAAAAGCTCACTCAACAAAAAAAGCTGTAATATTATAAATGAACCTTTATTAAAGACACTTCAATGCATTTGTTAGACACTTTAATATCTTACATGTTTTTCAATGTACAACATTGTACCAAATTTTCTAATAAATAAATAACTTTGTACACAAAAGTAATACTTCCTCTTTCACATTGCCTCTTAGAAGCAGCAAATTCACATATTTAGTGGAAGTCAGAACGTTAGGCAGTTATCTTTATTCAGAAACATCATTTTCAAATGTTAATGTGGCAACTATGCTTTGTCTCTGCAATGGTGATGACATTTCTGCCAGCAAAATGAGTCGTCAGTTAAGTCATTCCTGTGTTCCCAGTCCCCCCATCCTCACTGAGCTGGTTTTGAAGCATGCCTTTCCCTTGAGGAAAGGGAAACATACGCTCACATACGCTCGGTTTATGATTTTCTAACATCCATTTCCTTTGCTTGGAACAGACTTGGCACTCAACATAATTAGCCACCTGTCTCAAAGTGCAAACGTGTCAATAGTCAGAAACTGATACAGACAGGTACCTGGCTAAATTATGCTTTGCTTCATTAAGGTCGGGCTCAGTTGGCTTGTTTACAGCAAAGCTCGCCTTCAGCTGCTGTGCAGAAGACGCAGATCCTTCCTTACAGGAGATGTCGGCCTCAAGGTAAGGTGGGACACGACCAACGTTAAAATAAATGGGCACGTTGCCATTGCAGGGCAGCACGTGACTTTATCAAAATCCCACAGGTGTGGTAGGTCTCAGACAGATACAAAAGTAATGGATCTGAACCCAAACTGCAGTGTTTCTGCATGTTGTGAGCCACAGTCTTAGCAAAAGTAGATTTCCACTCGATTCTGCTGCAGTGGAACTGGCATTTGTGTTGCTCCTAAGGAAAAAAGTAACAAAACCCCTAATAAACCTTTCCCCAAAGTAGTCATCACCAGAGTTAGCAACCTTGTATTAGCAGAACTCAAATTATAAATAACTGGAAGGGAGTCCTCCATCCACAGGTACCAACACCAACAGAAAGCAGCCTTTCTATGAATAAAAAGCTTCAAACTGAAGTTAGAAGTGACAAAGATCTGTCTCACCAAAATGGGCATTTTTTTTCCCCCCCATTCATGGATGAACTTAAAAGACCACATAAAAATATTTCAGACATTTCCATTTTAAAGTGTACTTTCAACCACAGTTTCTCTTCTAAAGGAGACTATTTCTGAACAGCCCAGAATTGCTACACGAGGCAGCATAATTAATTGGAAGCGGATATTTTCACCTACAGTCTGGCTGCAGATCAGGGCGATGGTGTCGAACAAGCAAGTGGAATATTGTACTGCAGGGAGAAAGTGAGAGTATCAGATGAATTAAGGGTACAGCTGTCAGAGCGGGACTTAATTTCTGTTGTCACAGCAGCTCCATGCTTTTGAACCCCCCTCCAGGCCAGACGTGTACTGCTTGCTTAGCCAACGTGGTGAAGCGCAGGGCTGAGCGCTGCTCCTGCACGGGGCCGGGCTGCAGCACTGCAGGCTCCTCTCCACTGGGGGCAGCGCCTGCAGCTCGGCTCTGTCAGTGGCCAGCGCGATGCAGCGCGGTTGGGCACAGAATGCCTGCTGCTGCCAAGCTTTTGAGAGGTGCCGTGCATGAGGCCACCCCACGGCTTACTGCATGAATCGTTTATTTTGGGAACGACTGCTCGCTACTCACGGTCTCCATTTGGTCGGGTTGTTCTGGGGCTCTGCACTGTTGCGGAATTATTTCGTGCCACTTGTGTGGTCCACTCGAATGTGTCATGGGGAAAATACAAACTCTGATGCAGTGTTGAAAAATAATGGAATTTAAGTTCTTCCACAAACAGGAAAACAGTCAGGTTGCTATGTAATTCCTCACTGCTTGTTTTCTTTATTCCTGTAAGCTTCATTTCAAACAGTTGCAGATCCCTGTTTAAATGTGTTAAGTGCAATAAATTTCAGAGGGGAAAGAATTTGTGCTAAGTAACCCAATTGATACTTGATTTAAAGGGACTTCCACTGGAAAGAGGACAATCCCTTTGGAACAGTCTGGCTTTTTAAACTTCTGTTTATGCATTTAAGGCACCAGAATTATTTCTCTCACAAAGTTTAACAGCAACCTGATACTGCAAACAGTATTGCCAAAATTGTAAAATTTCACTCAGTTTTCCATGCACTAAAGATTAAAATAGCCTCTGTAAAAGATATATATATATATTTATATATATATTTATATATGAAAACTCTTATGTACAATTGTATCAAATACTTTTTTCTTTACACAATAACTCTTGCATTTATGTGCTTCATATGCAAGTCAACTTTTGAATGCTTCATACTTCACAGGGAAGTTTTAAACTATGTACAAACAGATGACGCTCGAACAGGAGTTTGTTCCCCATACAAGCTTGTTTCTCATACCTCAGCTGTTTTACCTTTGACAGGTCATCAGTTCAAGATTTGAGGTAGAAGTAAGTAGCCTCTATACTCTGTGCAAAAAATAATAATAATAATAGCACATTTGTTGCTTTGCACATGGCAGTCTGTCCTCTCAGTCTGTCGATCTGCTCGAGGGCTTCAACGCATGACTGGAGTCGCACGACTTGGGTGTGAAGCCATTGGCCAGGAGGGCCTGTTTTGCTTCTGCTTCGCTCTGCAGATCCAGTAGTGTTGGGGGAATTTCAGGGAGCACGTTCAGTTGCTTTAGTGACCCTCCTGCCGGCGAAGCTCTCACCAAGTTCAGGTTGTTAAGCTCTGAAGGCTTTGCTCCTGATTGCGAAGAGCCTGCAGAAAAGTAAAGCAGCGCGGTTAGCTGGTGCTCAGCCCGCCAGCAGTACGCACAGAGCCAACCCTGCCGCTGTCATTCCTGCCCTTGAGCCAAGTTAAAAAAGCAAATGGGGCACGGCGTACCGTGTTGGTCTGCAAGCAGAGGGCTGGCGGCGCTCACGGCTGTTATTCTGTCATGGTTGCTGGGGTAAAGGGTCCCATCAGCTTCCATCCTCTTGCTGGCAATCCCGTTGCACTGCTGCGGATGAAGAAGGCTGGTGGTGCCTGCACCCCTCTTCCTGCTCCGTTCCTTGCTGCTCAGTGCATTGTGGTAGGAAGCATCCAGAGCCTGAAGGCCCTCCGCGTAGTACTGCGACTCGCCGGGACAGATGTGGACGTTCATGCTGTCTGTGCTGCCGCTGCAGTCTGTGCACACAACGGGCAGGCCGTAGCCTTTCCAGAAGGAAGAGAAAACAGCAACAAATGCAGATCGACCAGCTGGAATTTGTCAGCACTGAGACACACAGAACACTCGGCAGAGCGGGAAGCTCGCTCGGTAGATAATATGGACATTTTCTGCTTCACATTCAGGGCTCGCAAAGACTTGTGCTTGTCACAACTCAGCAGCTGTCCTGTCACTAAAGGTAGTTCCAATAACTAGCTGAGTTTTTGGGTTTTTTTTTCCTAACTCCAATGAAGCTTTGATTTCGTTTTTAAAAATCTACCATACACTTGTTTCCTTTTCCAGACTTTCTAGTCAGGGCAGAAATAGAAACTGGAACTTTGCTATAACCGCTTCAAAATACCAATTTGCCTTTCTTATTTTTGTGCTGCTGCTTTATAGGGATCACTGTCAAATCGTATTGTTATCTCAGGATACTTTATTGCTGCTAGTGGGAACAGCAGCTGAGCAGAATTCAAAGCAGCAAGATGAAAGGAGGTTCTGAGTTTTGAAAGTTAGTTTCCTGAGTGCACTTGACAGCTTTTCATTATTCTACTTTACTGTTTCTCCTGGAGAGAGAATTTATCCTAAAAATAGGAAAGTGTAACACCCAAGAAATTGGCACAGAGAAGCAGCAGGTGCAGTGCCCAAAACAACAGTAAAATTCTGAAAATTCAAATTAAAAAAGAAAAGAAAAGCTGAGCTTTGAAGATGACAGCGCCTTTAAAGACCATGAAAAAATTTTAACACCTTCAGTTTGGAAGGGCTCTCTTCATTTTAGGAACAGCTCAAATCAAAACACCCCTCAGCCAGCTGTGAGCGATGGCCAGCACAAGCTTCAGCCCTCCTCCTTCTGATGGGCCCCTGAATTCAAACTATCCAACTTTGAGAGAGGATCAAAGCAAGCAGGAGAAAGTAATTTATTGTGCTCACACCTGAGAAACATCCTGGCCTCTTTTTCTGAAGGTAACAATTTCTCGTCTCATTGCTGTCTGACTCGGAGGGCTTTCTGATCTGTACAAACACGAAATACCTTTCTAGATTAATGAGTTTTGTACCTGTCTTATCTGGAACAAGCATTCCGTCAGCCGTGTCTTCAGTTTTCCAAGTGTCTTTATTATAGCCGATGCACAGCTTTGGCTGTCTGCAACCTACAGTGGGAGCTTCAACATCTGGACACCTTCCAGCATCAGTCTGACACATACCTGTAACAAACGAACCATCTGGCTACAGATTGCAACCATCTGCCCTCAGCTGAATGACTTGTTAGTCATATTTCTACCCATAAAAGCTGCAAAAGGGAAAAACAGCAGTGAAGATAATAGATTCTGTTAAACATTAGCTTAAAATTGTAAGTGATGTCTAATCTTCGGAGAATCTTAGTTCAGAACAGTTACCTTTTCTTTCCTAATGTGCCGTGTTTAAATACTGTAAAACCCCAGCATTTAATTTCTAAGCCTGAAGGCAGGGACAGGCCATGCTAATGTTCCTTCTAGTAAAGCTTAACTATGGTAACTCCAGTGCCAAAGAACTAATCCAAAATTAGCAGGGAAAAAAAAAAAACCAACAACTCGTTATGGCCTGACTGAGCAGTTTTGAAGCTGTCTGCTTAATCTGCTTAATTAAACTCGGTTATAACAGGGAGAGGGTAGCTTTGCAAAGTGAGAGAGTCCTTGTTCTGCATAAATGCAGAGGCCGGAGAATTCCAGTGCAAAGATCTATCAGCTAACTCATAACAAGCACAGGAATACTTGACATTGTATTTTTTCCATCCCTGCATCATGTTCAGATGCAGTATTACAGAAGAAATGACTGGTTCTCACCATTGCTGTCTATGTGTCCATTAGGCTGCTGGTTATCTCCTCTGACGACCGCTTCCTGCCGGTCAGAAAGAGTCCCTTGTGAGGACAAGTAGCTCGGCACGTCTGGAGGCACAATGGTCTCATCTGGAGCAGTGGGAGAAAGATATGAATTCCTAGAAAAACATAAAGGCTTCTTCTGTTTGTATTACATCTCAAATCCCATTTTCAAGAGGGACTGAGGACCAGATCTGTGTCTACTCGGTATTTTCTGTAAGAGCAGTGAATTACAATTCAGCTGCCTAGAATCTCCTAATGCCCCTCAGCAGCCCCACTCCCGATTTTTTCAAAGCCTGAAGCTGTGAGATTTAATGCTGATAAACCATTCTGGATGTTTGGCACTGCCAGGACAAAGTGGAACTGTCTCTTCACAACCCATAAGAGCTTATCACCTGAAATCCAGCACACCTCATTTGATTCATGTCCTCTGTCTCCCAGAGCCATGAAGAACAGGCTTCTGGAGGGCAGGGATTCTGACTTCAGCAGGCAAAGTCCAAGTCACTTAGCTACCCTTGGCTTTCTCCATCTCGTATCAGGCAGTTTTACTTTCCCCTGCCATTTAAATACCAAGTGAAACTCAAGTACACCAGGACTGAATAGAAGGGAGACAAAAATCCCACTTAGACATGGCACTGGTGACATGGTATCCAACGTTTCCTACTTAAGTCCACCTCATGCTTATATCTAAATCTAATAGCAATACAGGAAGACCAAATATGTGAGAACAGGGAAGCCTTAAAGTAGTTTTGCCTTACTTCTGTACAGAGACTGTTTAAAGCTGATGGCAGGAGAGTTTTTATCCCTGCAACATTTGGTTCAGCACCTTATTATCCCCTTGGAAGACTGGCAGAAAGCAATAAGCACTCCTTCCTTCCCCCAGGAAGAGAGGGATGCCCCTCATCAGTATGGTTATAACAGCTCTTACAGGCAATATGGAAAAAGGGTTTCCAGCTTCAGAGGCTCACTTTTGTATGTTCAGAACATGCAGTCTTTGAAAATACAGATTCTCAAGAAGTTAAGATCTAAGCACTGTGGGCATCACACTGACTATCTTGAGTTATCATTTACAGTCATGGAAAATTAAAGTTGCAAAACAACAGTTGAAACTACTTCCACTTGGAAAAGACCTTTCTGAAGAGCCAGCCAAGGGCAGAAATGCAGCTGTAAACATGCAGGCAAAGGGTGGTTCCAGCTGCTGCAGCCAAGAGAACCACTGAGAAAAGCCAACTGCTTTTCCAGTAAGATTGTGGCTACCTGACATGCTGATTTGGCCCCGGTGGGAAGTCTGATAACACAGCAGGTTAGGGAAAGCCTCAGCAGGATACTGGAGGTACCTGTGTTGGTCACACTGTATTCCTCACTCTTCTTTCTGGTTTGGTAGATGATGCAGACCCAGACCAGCGAAGTCAGCACAATGCTACACACCACAGCAATGGTGATGATCCCCACAGTGGTACGGTCCTTTCTGCAGCCAAGAGACTGTAAGATGCTCACGTGGCTGTGCGCACGCTCTGTCCCCAGGGTGTTGGACATCTCACATGTGTATTTCCCAGCGTCTTCCAAGACAACATTCCTAACGATGAGGAGCTGGTTGCCAGAGGTGAAGTGATGCCTTTCTGTCACGATCAGGGGCTGGTCGCCTTTCAGCCAGGTAATGCGGGGCGGTGGGCTCCCCGTGGCTTTGCACTGAAGAGCCACAGTCTCACCTACAGACACTACGTGGTCTTCCAGTGGGTGAATCAAAGACGGCGTCTCTGCAGGGGAATAAAGCAGAAATTAATTCGTGGGGATACCGTGACAACGTTTTTCTTTTAACAGCATTGAACGTAACTCATGTTTCTGCAGACAAATACTTGGCAGTGCAGTATGTGGCCACGTGCCTAGGACTGTGGAAGCTGTGTACCAAACAGATCTAAAAATCATGACCAAAGCAGTCTCTTAACTTGGTGGTGGTAGTGTTCACTACAGAGAAAAAGCCTCGGCTATGGAGGCAATGGCTGACACACGTGAATAATCTGGCAAGGCCAGAGAAAGAGAGCACAAATTCCTTTTGAAGTCAATTTCCTAGGTAGGAAATAGCATGGCTACAGGGGCTCCCCAGAACAGAGGAAATGTGACTCAGAGCTCCTTTTTTTTAATTAGCAGGCTTTTTTTCCCTAGTTAACTACAGTGTAGAAGAATGAACAAGAAAAACGCAGAGCATGGCCTCTTTGTCCCCTTTCTGCATCTGCTAAAGAACAATCCCTTCCAGTTCCTGCTTCTAGACCAGTCAGTCTTTCAGGGACTCTCGGGCATCTTACCCAGTACAGTCAGGGTGGCATTTGCAAGCACAGACCCTGCAGAGTTCTGTGCTGTGCAGCTGTAGACACCCATATCTTCTATCTTCACATCCGTAATGAAGAAGACATCATCATCAGGCATGACGTGCATGCGGCGTTCCCGGGCTGCAGGGAAGTCTGTGCCCCCATCTTTCTGCCAGGCAATTTGTGGGGTGGGGTGTCCTTCAGCTGCACACTCCAGCCGTGCCGTTGTCCCTGTCCTGCTGGTGATGTCGTGGGGAGTTTTGATAAAGGAGGGCAGCACTGATAAAGAAAAATAGAAAAAAGGATGAGCAGTTCTATGGAGAAAACACAACTTTCCAGGCAGTTCTAATTGCTTTCCTTCCTAGGCAGGACGTGGACATGATAATTATCTATAGGCAACAGATGACAAGATGCTTTTTTAATCTATTTTTTATGTGTCTTTTATCTCCATAGCACATACCTGTCCAGGACACCCCACTCAGGATCATTAGAGCTGGAATCAAAGCTGATTTTCTTCTGTGATTAAGCTGGAAACAAAACCCATTATCCCTCCTACTTTCAATCACTACAGTCTCTTTTCTTTCTATACTTTTTTACTCCCATGGGCAAAGACTCCACTGGAACAGCCAAAGACAAGTGATTACAGCCATTAAAACCGTGCCTGGCTGGATGGCAGCCATCACAGCCTGGCATGTGCTCCTCACGTGGCATTCTCAGCATCCCCTGAGAGGCAAGCAGCTGGTGTGAAGAGGTTACGAACTTCTCCTGCAAAACCCTCAGGAGTTTACAGGTTTACAGCTGGCCCCAGAGAATTGCTGAGGGAGGGAAGGAGAACTCGGCTTGCTACTCACCATTAACAGTGAGTCGAGCCTTGTTGGAGTAGGTGGAGCCAAAGTGGTTGGTGATGATGCACTGGTATCGGCCCTCGTGGGCAAAGGTGACGTGGCGGAGGTGCAGAATGGTGGTGTATTCCATCACCTCGCCATCCTTCGCCCGCACGTGGGCAAAGTTCTCAATCTCAGCATTATGCAGCACTTCGTTGTCTTTCTTCCACGCAAACATCATGGGGGAGCTGCTGCTGCTGGCAGCCGAGCACGTGAAACGGATGTCCTTCCCAAGGACGGCCACCGTGGTCTCTGGCTGGATGATGATCTGAGGCTTGGGGAAATCATCTGAGAGGAAACAGAAAGCCCTGTTAGTACTGGACTCTAAGGGCAGACTGGAACAAGCAAAGAGGTGCAACTAGAAACGAGCAGCATTTAGTGGAAGACATTATTACCCTTCTGTCTTTACATCCCCTGCTGTCTACGCCAGAAAAGCAGCTTGCTCTTGCTAAGCACCCACCTTTGGGACAATGCACACATAATGCACCTCCACTGAGTGGCCGGTCTAAGCTAAGGCTCTTGTTTCTCGGGTTCCTTCTGTTAATCTGAATGAGATAGTCTGCAAACCAGCGGATGCCCAGCTCTTTTCACCCATGCAGCTGAACCTCAGAAATACACTGGTCTAAAGAAACTATCCTTCCCTGCACAGCCCATGCACAAAGGAAACAATGCTGAATTTATGACTTAAACTCCAGTGCTGCATTAGCAGTGAAAGGTCCTAGATGGTGGTGGGATGGTGGTGTTGCCCAGAATCCGGATGTATGAGCATCACTTCAGTCTCCTTTGATCATTTATATTTCTTTACTAGGGAAGCTGCAGACATTTGTGCATGCCAAGTGTTTACTGAAGACTCTTTGCAACCAAAGCTCAGGTGCAGAGTCAACTTCAGAGAGTGAGTAGGAGAACACCAGTAGGTGCCACTTAGATGAAAAATGGTAATAATTCAGGTGTTAGCCAGTCGGTTCCTGTATAATGCCTAGATGGTCCAATAAAAGGAGCTGTGATGGGGAGGTTCTCCTCTTTTTTTTTTTTTAACTCCTTGTTCTTGTTTGCAAGAAGGAGAAAAGGTAAGCAAAGAACACAGAGCCACAGAGCGAGCTCAGAGTGCTGCAAGATGAAAAACTTTCCAGCTGCAGTCTTGGTAATATCAAGCCAAGTGCAGCTGTGCAGCCCCATTTGGAGCTGGAATGAGCATCAGTCCCTTTTGATTTAATAGCCGTGGAGCCCTGTGCAGGATTCACGCGATGCAGGCGATGCGCTGTGCGGTTGTGGTGGGAAATAAATTGTAGCCAATGACAAATTTTCCAAATGCAGGCTTGGGCTTCCTTTGATCCCATTGAATACCAAAACAAAACAGAAACCCTCTCATAATAACATGCTAGTAGTCAAAGAAAATGTTTCCCAAGTGAGTTCTGCCCTTCGTACAACCTCAAAACACACAAGCAAGACTTACCACACACAAAACTTTCTGGCAGGACAGCAAAAATGCTTTTGCTCTTCAGCGACTCGGGATGGGCGCAGGTGGCCACCACGAAGGACTGCAGCTCTTTCTCCACCAACCACGGGGGCAGCCATTTCAGCTGGCAGTCACAGAGGAAGCTGTCGCTGTTGATGTGGCTGCGGGGAAACAAATCCAACACAGCTCGCTGTGAGTTCTGCACGGAGGGAGGGCTGCAAAGCTCACGGCCCTTTCATGTTAGTCACATTCCTCCCTTCCCTTCAGCAGGAGTGGAAGGAAGAAAAGGCCTGCAGGTTGTCCGCAAAGCACTGATGAAGCTACCTACGTCACACATTTAAGTGGCATTTCATCTCCACACAAAACAACGCCTCCCTGTATTCCAGAGAAACTCCCTGGTGCCTTATTATTCAGTTTTCAGAGTGGTCCCCAGCAGCATTTATCAGCGTTCTAACAGTAACTCAGCACCTTCTGTTAAGGAAAGAGCTATGGGTGCAAACAGAAGTGGAGACTCAGGATTATTTTTTTTTTTCAGTAAGACCAGATCAGCCTTTCTCCTCTATTTTGTTTCAAGAGCCAGTGTAGCAATAGATAAAGTGGTTAAAGAGACAGTGGGCATGCAACCTGATCTTACTGACCCCGCAGTCACTGTACTCATGTCACTGCCAGCATCAGTTGTCTGATTCCCGTTTTCAAAGTCAGGAAGAAGACCCTGAACTTGCCTGAGTACCAACTAAGTGATTTCTTCTTCCACAAACTGCACTACTTCAGAGTGGTGAGAGTGGATTAAATATTTATGGAGGAGAAAAGGAAACCAGGCAAGACTGGAAACAGTGTCTGATAACAGGGCAGAGCCCCAGCCTGGAGCGCAAGCGGCAGCTCCGATGACATATCTGTATTTTTACACCAGAAGGCTGGATGACAAGTGGATTCAGTCCAAATGGTGCTATCACTGAAATGTCAGTACAGTATGTGAACCCTAAACATAGGTACTGCAGGGGAGCAGATGGGCAACTGGGAATTAAATCTGTGACAGTGTGAGAAGGAGAGACGGCTAACAGGACCTGGGCTGGACTTCCTGAGTGGAGATGAATCATTACACAGATGCGAACCTGCTGGAAGAACCTGTTCTGATGATCTAATTTCACTCACTATTAAATTCAAGATGTTCCTGTGACAGCTACTCGTGTGTAAAAATACCCTGCAGAGGAGGACAGCGGGGAGGAGGAAATAAATGAACAGTAATGTGAATAACACCCCATTGGAAACAACGTGCTACTTCTCACGTCCAGGGCAAGAAAGATCCTTGCTCCTTCATGGTGTGCACAGCCCAGTTACTTACAGCTGCCGCAGGCTCTTCATCTTAGCAAAAGCATCTGCTTGGATGGAGCGGATGGCGTTATCTCCAAGGTTCCTGCAGAACACAACCACAGGCAATGTGAACAACAGGACATTATGGCTGTGACAAAATCTCTCCATACCCAAGCGCTGACCCTAGTAAGCAAGTGAGATTTTAGCTTCTGGTGAAGACTGGTGAAGACACTTGAAGCTCGTGGAAATAGGTTTCAAAACACATTCCTATCAAACAGGTAACGCCAGGCAATGGTAAATGAACAAAACATTCAGGAATAAATGACTGAGTCGGTCCCTACCCCACTTTCTCAGTCTCACAAACTCCTCAGCCCTCTCAATAACCGAAGATAGTCAGAAATGTTGTTTCCCAGGCCAGCCCTTCAACAAACGTGCAGAAAGCTAATATTGCACCGAACGGCATCTCGCAAAGTCACTTTGAGGGGATACTCAGCAAAGCTTCCAAAATAACGTATTCTTAACAGCTTCCCTCTCAACTACTGCTAACTAAAACAATTCAGTTGTCTTCTGAAAAGGACAGTGTCAGATTTCAGGCTTGCATTTAATAAGTCAAGTGCAAGACAGACCAGTGCCAGCTCTGCTTGCAGAGGAGCTCTCCATGCAGCACTGACAAGGGACCCTTTAGCAGGGAAGGTACCCCCTGGATCAGGCAGTCACTACATTCTCAGTGCTCACAACATTTCTTAACGATCAGCAGTCAGTGAAACACCGACAGCAAAGTCACAGATACTTTAACGTGTCTTAATTCAGAAAGGAAGCTATTCATGAGTCACTGCTGGAGTCATCAGCCTTGGATCACAGAAAAAAATTACACAGTGGCAGCCAAAATCTGCTTCTTGCAAATCGCTCTAAGGCAGTTGTGCCGAATGGCGATGTGCAATGCTGCATCACGAGCAGTCATTTGCAACATGCGTCACTGCCCAGATTTAGGAAGAAGTCAGGGCAAGGGAGGAAGAGTGCGAGCTCCATCTGAAATAGCACATTTTCATTGCCAACAGCCTGCACAATAGCAGTATGCAAGTCAAGGCGTATTTATCCAAGAACAAACCAAAAAATTAAGAGCATGCAGATTTGCCATATGTTCTATAACTTTGTTCTGGCACAAAAAAAGGCCAAAGTTGAGGCAGACTTATAATGAGAAGGAAGCAGGTGGCCCCCACAAATGGACTGGCTTCTCAGTTTACAAAGACACTATTAAATTGCTAGCAGATCTCTCAGGCAGCAACTTTTGGCAGACCCCCCTTCCCAAACTGCGAGGCATGGTGGGTTACTCACAGGTGCTCCAGGGCCTCCAACCCTGAGAACGCTTTCTTGGCCACTGACTTGATCTTGTTTCCAAACAGAGTTCTGCAGTTTCCAAACATCCAGTGCCAGATAAACAGAAAGAAAATGGGGAGAGGGAGGCAGAAAAAGAAGGAACACAATTAGCGTGGCTTTATCTGATGTACGCGCTCAGTGCAAGTCCCGGGAAATCTGAACTGCATGGAGATTAAGAGGGCTGAAATACATTCGCTTTCCCACTCCTGAAATTAAATCCTTTTATCTGTGTTTGAATTTAATAGTGATGACAGCACAAAAGGGAATGTGCCATATCATGTAAAGAGGCAGGTTTGCTCCAGTGCCTGGAAACCAGCTTGCTGAGTAACAGAAGGTCCCCTCTATTCTTTGAAGGCTGGCTTTGGTCAGGATTAAGTGCAACGACAGTTTAACAAGACTTTGGTCTCTTCCTGAAACACTTTTCATTTCTGACTTCTTCCTGCATAGTAAAAGAGTGGCAATCTCTCCCCTGCTGCTTGGCCTGCCTGGCCAGACACACACAAGGGCTGGGGCTGTCCCCGGGCTGTGTGCATGCAGCACCCAACCAAAGTGAGTGCTGACCTCCCTCCTTGGCCTCCTGTAAATACAGGAGCAGAGCAGAATAATACACTGACAGCAGAGCAGTAATTTCAGGGGCCAAAGGGAAAGAGAGAAAAGATAATGTGCAGAGAGACCGAAACAAGGAGCACGCTTGCCTGTATCTGTGGCCACAGACCATTCCTGCCCACCAGCAAGAGGGGGGTCATCAGTAGGCAAGAGCCAGCTGAGTGCTCGCAGCCCAGCTGGTGTTCAGTCTTCTATAAATATTGACCAGGACTGGTCAGGGTTCATACAGAACAGATGATATCCTCGACTGTTTTACAGAAACATCAGCCAGTATCATCAATTAGGAAATTCTTTCCTTCCCCAAGCTCTCTCTGCATGAGGTTTATCTGCCAGGTGCATCTGTTTATCACCTCTTGCTTGACGTGGCTTCCAATGCAAGTCATTACTAACAGATCCAGTACACAGACTGGCACATCAGGTGCTGCTTTTGACTCTTCCTTCAAGAATTTTCTTTCAAACATAGGGTGCAACACACAATTAGTGCTAATTACACTACGATCATGGCACTGCTTGCTACCAAATCGAGATACAAGATCAGTGCATCAGAAGTCCTAGAGCATAGAACTGCTCTATGTTCTAGCTAAAATACATAATTTACTGTATGCAAACTTTGGCCATATGGCTACATCCATACGCACTAATTTCTGGAGCCATAATCCTAAATGCTATGCTGAACTTGGATTTGATAACTGGAGATTTGTGTTTACTGTTTCCAGTAGATCTGGAATCACAGAATCAGAGAATGGCTTGGGTTGGAACGGACCCCAAGGATCACCAAGTTCCAACCCTCAGCCACATGCAGGGCCACCAACCTCCAGATCTGGTACCAGACCTGGCTGCCCAGGGCCCCAGCTTTGAAAGCTGATGATGATTCTTTCAACACATCTCTATCTGTGCAGAGGTAAGCAGGAAGCCTGGTGTTCTGGATACCCACATTTATAAGCCACCTGCAAACAACTTTATGGTTACGTTTGTGAGAAATCCATACCATACTGGCAATAACACCGTGCCCCAGAAAACTCATTTCTGCCTTTCAGATCTCGAACAGCCACTTCTGTGACCCAGCAGCCCCTTCCAAGGGCCGTGGCATCCAGCCCTGCTGCTCGTCTGCCTGCTGCAGCCCCCAGTCGTGCTGCTGTGAGCAGAGCTGGGCGCGACCGCGCTCTCCCAGTGATTGCACAAGTGTAATTAGAAGCCAGGCACGCAATTCATTAGAAAGCAGCATTTTCTACTCCAGCCAGTTCTGCACCTGCAGGAAGATCTCAGTCACTGAGTGAGCCATCAAAAAAACCGGTTACATTGAGCAGCTTGAATAATTAGGAGAACCGGTTGCTCCCCAGCGATTCCACTGATGCTTTTCATGCTTCGGTGCTTCTCGACTCCCTTTCTTGAAGAAACATTTTAATTTAGGCCTGTGCTCTCCATCCTGGACAGCTTCATATATAATTCAGGGAAGGCTAAAGTGACTGGCCTCCCACCTCTCAGTTTAACACCTTCATTTCAGCGAACAACCCTCTCCCCGTTAAATCCTTTCAGAGGCTAATCTGTGCCAGATCAAAGGGGAGCAGCTTTTAAGGCAATCTCCACAGAGCCGAGGTGATTATTAATTCATTGGAAGGTCTCCTCTGAAGTGCCCATTTATTTTTTTGTATGCTAATGCATTTAAAGCCTATTGATGGTTTAAACACAGGCCTTAAATCAGGCGGTGAGATGTTCTCTGCAGAGGCTGCTGTTTTACTTTATTTAAGAAAAAAACCCTGCCAGCAAGAATAACACTCACTTCAGCCTTAGATGAAATTACAAGTTTGGGATTTAAGTGCTGATGAGCTAAAGTGGACCCCAGCACACTGCTTTTAAAGTGCACGTTCCCTAGTGTGCCCAGAATGCTCTACAATGAAATAATCTCATACTCAGAAGGCTTTTTCTGCCCTTGCAGTCTGACGGACAAGAAACGATCCCAGCAAAGGAACAACCAGCTGCCCTGTGGCAGGTTTGCTGTTGTGTAACCAAACCTCTCCTGTCTGCCAACCTGGTCTGCGTGCTGTGCCAGGCTATGGAGTTTGCTGCAAACTCAGTCTTCTTTACACTTGCACGAGCTCCTGCCACATACAAAACAACAGACAAAACCAGCCATCTTTTGGAGCTGCTGTCTGTGCCCAATGACCACAGAATCACAGAATGGCCAGGGTTGGAAGGGACCTCAAGGATCATGAATCTCCAACCCCCCTGCCACCAACCTCCCCATTTAATACCAGCCCAGGCTGCCCAGGGCCCCATCCAACCTGGCCTTGAACACCTCCAGGGATGGGGCGTCCACAGCCTCTCTGGGCAGCTGTTCAGCACCTCACACACTTTACTACGAATAGGCTGGGCTGCTCCACCAGCAGCAATAGGACTCTGCACAGAGCTCCAAGCACACAGCCCACAAAGCCCTGCAGGCTCTTTGCTCCAT